CCGAAGCACATAAGAGGAAGAAGGACGACCTGCCTGAATGCTCCCATCGAGAGAAGAAGCAAGAGCTAGGGATTAGCTCCCAGGACGAACTGATGGAAGTTGAATTGATAGAGGGAAATCCGGAGAAGATAACAAAGGTAGGTCCTTGGCGGTCAACATACAAGGCGCGTTGATTGCACTACTGAAGGAATTTGTGGATATCTTTGCGTTTTCAGCCAACGACCTCACAAGAATTGATCATGGTGTAGCAGAGCATAAGTTGAACATCGATCCAACTATGAGGCCGGTGAAGCAAAAGAGGAGGCACTTTTGTGCCGAGCTCGATGTGGTTATTGAAGCAGAGGTGCAGAAATTGTTAAAGGCGGGGCATGTACGACCCATTCAGTTCCCAAAGTGGTTGTCCAATTCAGTCATGGTAAGGAAGGGAGAAGAAAAGTGCAGGATGTGCATAGACTTCAAGGACTTCAACAAAGCCTGCCCTAAAGATCACTACCCCTTACCACGTATTGACCAACTCGTCGACTCTACAGCTGGGTGCGAGTTATTGAGCATGATGGACGCTTCTCAGAGGTACCACCATATACCTCTCGCTGAGAAGGACCAAAAGAGGGTTATCTTTGTGACATCTAAGGGCACTTACTGCTACGTAGTCATGCCTTTCGGATTGAAGAATGCAGGAGCTACTTACTAACAGTTGGTGGATAAAATGTACAAAGGGTAGATAGGTCGGAATATGGAGGTCTACGTCGATGACATGTTAGTAAAGAGTAGGAAGGCAAATGATCATGTGGTAGACTTACGCGAGACCTTGAGCACCCTATGGCGATACGGCATGAAGCTCAACCCGGCTAAGTGCAAGTTTGGGGTAAGGTCAGGAAAATTTTTAGGGTACTTGGTGACGGAGAGGGGCATAGAAGTCAACCCGGAGAAGGTACGAGCTGTTATTGAGATGCAAGCACCGAGGAACTTGAGGGAGGTGCAGATCCTAATCGAATGCCTAGCGGGGTTGAGCAGGTTCATAGCTCAATCTGCAAAAAGGAGTTTTTTGTTTTTTAAGGTCTTGAAGAAGGGGTCGCGTTTCAAGTGGACGTCACAAGAACAACATGCCTTTGAGAGGTTGAAAGAGTTTCTAGCTGAGCTCCCCTTACTTACAAAACCGGAACTAGGTGACACGTTAGTCGTATACCTATCGGTGGGGCATGAAGCCATTAGTTCAGTGCTGATAAAGGAGGAGCATGGACAAAAGAAGCCAATATACTATGCTAGTCGGATATTGCAGGGCGCCGAGCGCCGATATTCAGACGTTGAGAAGGCCGCGTTAGCACTTATCTCTAAAGCCAGGAAATTACGACCTTACTTCCTAGCGCATAAAGTTATGGTGCGGACCAACTACCCGCTCAAAGATACTTTAGGCCGTCCATCGGCCTCGAGAAGGATAGTGAAGTGGGTGGTTGAGCTAGGCGAATACAATGTTGACTTTGAGGTGCGAAAAGCTATTAAGGCTCAGGCATTGGCGACTTCATACAAGAGTGCAGATTGGGGGCCGAGAGTGGACCATGGATGGTGTATGTCGACGGCTCGTCGGCGGTAGAAGGCGCAGGTCTCGGCATCTTGGTGGTCACACCAGAGAAGGACCACTTGAAGTTTGCGGTTAAGTTGTCCTTTAGGGTATCAAATAATGAGGCAGAGTACGAAGCTCTCATTAAGGGAATTCAGCTCGTCCTAAAGGAGGAAGCTCGGCAGGTGATCATTCACTCGGATTCTTAGCTCGTGGCCGAACAGATCAGGGGTGAGTATGAAGCTAAGGAAGAGCGCATAAGGAAGTATCTGGTCGAGGTCCAGGCGATGTTAAAAGGATTCGCGACATGGGAGTTGATACAAATACCGCGGGGAGAAAATGGTAGGGCCGACCTACTCTCAAAGGTGGCCGCGTCTCTTGTTGACTGTCGATCTCGGTCAGTGACGTTGATGGATATGACCAAGAGTACCTTAGACCAGGTGCTAGAAGTTGAAGAGCAAAGGGATTGGAGGTCGCCTTTAATACAATGGTTGCAGGAGCCGGTAGCAGGGAAAGATATCAGGGACGACCCAGTTGGAAGGAGAGCATTGAGGTTTTACCTGCAGAATAGGATCCTATATAAGCGATCGTACATAGGGCCTCATCTAAGGTGTGTCTCAGAACAGGACAGAGAGTACGTGCTCAGGGAGGTGCATGAAGGATGTTGCGACGACCACCTGAAGGCTAGGGCATTGGTTGGGAAGGTGCTTCGGGCTGGATACTTCTGGCCTAAGATGAGGACGATGGCACAGGACCTTGTGCAAAAATGCAAGAAGTGTCAGCAGTATGGCCCCTTGATCCATCGGGCAGCCAAAAACATGGTTCTTATCAACTCGCTTTTACCTTTTACTCAGTGGGGGGTTGACATAGTTGGACCTCTGCCCCAGGTGACGGACCAGCGAAAGTTCCTCATTGTGGCAGTGGATTACTTTTCCAAGTGGATTGAGGCCGAGCCATTGGCGACGATCACGGAAGAAAGGGTGATGAAGTTTCTATTCAACAACATCTGTTGCCGGTACGGCATCCCTTGAGTGCTCATATCTGATAATGGCACTCAGTTCAAAGGTCGGCTTACGATGAGTTGGTGCGAAAAGATGGGCATCAATCAGCAGTTTGCTTCGGTCGCCCACCCCCAAGCGAATGGGCAGGCCGAAGTCGTCAATAGATCAATTCTAAATGGGTTGAAGGCTAGATTGAAGAGAGCTTCAGGTGCTTGGGTGGACGAACTTGATTCGGTTCTATGGTCATATCGGACGACACCAAGAACTTCAACGGGGGAGACGCCGTTCAGTCTAGTTTATGGTATGGAGGTCGTCATCCCAGTAGAGGTCGGCCTCAACTCAGAGCGGGTTGACACATACACAAAAGAAGGGAATGTTGAGCTCCGAAGGGAGGCATTGGACCTGGTGGACGAGTTGCTTGACTAGACTGGATTGAGGACGGCGGCTTACAAGCAGCGAATGAGGGCAGCCCACGACAAGTCATTTCGAGCTCAACGATTCCAAGTGAGGGACCTGGTTTGGCGTCAGGCCGATGCCCTGAAGCATGTTGGGAAGTTGGAACCGAACTGGGAGGGCCATTATACTGTCGTGAGGGTGTTCGCGGGGGGCGCCTATGAACTTCGCGATGTCAAGGGGTGGCTACTACCGCGACCGTGGAACATATCACATTTGACGAAATATTGTGCGTAGCTGGAGACATGTTACTTTTAATTGCATTCAGTCGTTATTTGGTTATGTTTTAGCAAGACAAGTAATACAGTTGCATGTGAAGTTTTTTCAGCTTAACTCTTTTTTGGTATGGTATGCGTTAGGGCACCGGCTTGTGAGGTCTCGCCTAAGCTCGCGGAGCTGGGCGACGCCTCTGTAGGGCGAAAGCCTGGTATTCTCGCCTAAGCTCGCGGAGCTGAGTGACGACCTCTGTAGGGCGAGAGCCTGGTAGTCTCGTCTAAGCTCGCGGAGATGAGCGACGACCTCTGTAGGGCGAAAGCCTAGTAGTCTCACCTAAGTTTGCAGAGCTGGCCGACGACCTTTGTAGGGCGAAAGTCTGGTAGTCTCGCCTAAGCTCGCAAAGCTGGGCGACGACCTCTGTAGGGCGAGAGTCTGGTAGTCTCGCCTAAGCTCGCGGAGTTGGGCGACAACCTCTATAGGGCGAAAGCCTGGTAGTCTCGCCTAAGCTCACGGAGCTGGGCGATGACCTCTGTAGGGCGAAAGCCTGGTATTTGCGCCTAAGCTCGCTGAGCTGGGCGACGACCTCTGTAGGGCAAAAGCCTGGTAGTCTCGCCTAAGCTCGCGGAGCCTGGTGACGACCTTTGTAGGGCGAAAGCCTGGTATTCTTGCATAAGCTCGTTGAGCTGGGCGGCAACCTCTGTAGGGCGAGAGCCTCGTAGTTTCGCCTAAGCTCGTGGAGCTGGGCGACGACCTGTGGGCATGCAAGTCTTGAAACGCTTAGCAAGAATTGTGCTAGGTGCAAAAGCCCATTGCCACGATGCTAAGTGTTTATGAGACTTGGTGAGCGAAACTTGTTACGAAAGAAGATATATGGTTACTTAAACAGTAGTCAATTATATAAGTACGAGCAATTGAAGCGTGAAATTAAAACATGGTGCTCACAAGCGATAGATGAAATCAAGTCACAAAACACTACACGAGTTCACTGTTACATTCCAAAATAACAAAAGAGATAAAACAAAAGAAAGGTTCAATACATCTACTTCAAACAAAAGGAAATCGCATGCAAGTCTTGGTAGGTGGCCCGGCGCCCCTCTACTCAGGGATCTTCTCCACCTCACCTCCAGCAGCTACGATAGCAGCCTCTAGGGCCGGCTCCCACCAAGGATGGGTCACCGGGAGAGACTCGTCACCGTTCCATCCATTGGGGTTAGGGAGGCCCTTCTTCAACTTGCCTTCATTCGCGGAGAAGGTGGTGAAGCCCTGGACTTTCTCCTCGGCTTGGGTCCGCTCGACCCCCGCTCGGAAATACTGGAGGCAGTCCTTGACAACCCACTTGAGGAACGCCGTGGAGTCGTGGTAGCGTGCCAATAGCTCAACTCGGTAGTACTTGAGGAAGCGGACCCCGAACTCCGAGTCGAAAAATGTCTCTCGGGTCTCCTTCTGGGCCTGAACAACGCGCTCATCAACTGATAGTCGAAGAGCCTCCAGCTCGCTCTGGAGCTTCTCCTTCTCGGCCTTCTCCTTAGCAAGGTCTTGCTTGAGTGAGCTTTCTTTTTGGCCACCTTGCCCTTCAGTTTCTCCATCTCGTCGGAGTCACCCTCCATAGCCTTGTTAAGGATGGGAGCTAGACCGGCCATGGCCTGTTGAAGGAGGTAAAGATGGTCAAGCATTAACTTAGTTTTATCAAATTATAAGGCATAAAGATAAGGTATGAGGGTATCCCGACTAAGGTGGTACATGGTGTCACTAGCTCGGAGCTCATTGGTCGGTCACTGGACTGTCTCACCATCGGGGAAGATGGAAAGAAAGTAGGAGCCTGACGCCTCCGTGTCTTTGTTGCCCGCAAATTGCCTCGGTATGGTAAGGGTGCGCTGCTCGTCATCCCGAGAGGCGACCTTGCATTTCTTCAAGAAGTTCTTGGTCGGCGGCTGACGGTAGCGCTGCCGGTGGGGTGCCCTTATTGGTGTCCTCAAGGTGGGTAGCCTGATGTGATGGTGGATCAGTGGTCACTAGGACCTCGTCGGCAGCGGTGGTGGCCAGCGGGACCTCATCGGTACCAACGGTGGTTTTTGGGACCTCGGTGGCGGCGACGGTCTCCATGAGCTTCTCTGCAAGACAAATAAAAGATACAAATATTAGTAACTAGATTATATGCATATGACTAACATGAAAGAGATGGTAGGCAATATGACGGTAACCCGGGGCGCCGAGGCCTACCTATGTTATCCACTGGGTCGGCGACACAGTTGGATAGTTGGAAGTGTCGAAGGAGCTAGTCGTTTGCGGCCAGCTTCACCACGAGGAGGGGGCGAGCATTCCACTGGTAGATAAGGGTCTTGTATCGGGTGTTTTTCTTTGGTCTCTTGAGTGGTGTAGGTGGTTTGTCTAGCCAAACGGATGGGAAGTCAAAGGTATCAGTGGTAGGCGGACTTATGAAGAAAAAATTGTTTTTCCACTGGTGAATTTTCGACCTGGGTTGGTGTATGAAGCGGGTGTTGTTACAGCGCATGAGGTAAGGCATGTTGTTCAACTTTTTGAGGCATATGCAGTATAAACACAGCTTAGGGTCGAGTTTGCCGTGGCGGGCTCGGCACACCATTATGAAGCCGATGAGGAGACGAATTGAGTTAGGAGGTACTTGGTTCAGGGGCATCTTATACAATTGATTCAACTGGAGCAGGTCGGAGTGTATAGGAAATCTCAGCTCGGCGTTCACTTGGTCTAGGAAGAAGCTAAAACAGTTGCGTGGGGGGCTATCGTATGAGTCATCGGGTTTTGGAAGTCTGAGTTCCCAATTTCGGGCCAATTCCATTTTCTTGGCAAGCGCGACTACTTAGGTATCCGAATAGAAGCATATGGGGTTTGAGGTATGGCTTGGGAGCGGGTGACCCTCTTTTTTGCCTTGGTGTTAGAAGAGGTCGTCGAGGCCGGGAGGGCTAAGGCAACGGGGGGTGACCCTACGGGTGAAGAGTGTGAATGAGAAGAGGAACTAGTGTTGCTCGTAGAGGTAGAACTCATGTTATTCGTAGAAGAGGAGCATGGGTTACTAGTACTCGTCAAGGAGGAGTTTGGGTTCCTAATGGTGGTGGATCCTTCTAAATTGTACATAGGCGGGATAACAATCAGAATGCATAGGGCAAGCAAGGAGTTCGACATAAAAGAAAAGATAAAACGCAAGCATATGAGAATGTGAACTACATAAGAACACAAAGCAAAATGGTGAATGAACGTAACAAGATTGAGAAGAGGTAGGCGTACCTATGAAACTTGCCGATGCCGCCATAGTGAAAAGAGTGAGATGATGTAGGCGCGGTGTATGAATTCGGTTGAAGGGGGACGCGTGGTCGTCGTCAGCTCGGGTGCACGGTCGTCGAGGTGGCGCAGTTTGGGTGCGTGGTCGTCGGCGGCGGATGCAAGGTCGTCAAGGTGGTGCGAGGTCGGCAAGAGGGCGAGCTCGATGTGATGGTGCGTGCTCGACATGGGGACGACGTACTCAACGAGGTTGCATGCTCGGTGAGAGGGCGTGGGCTCGTCGATGAGATGGCGGGTGGTTGGCAGCGGCACGTGGTCGTTGGAAGGTATGTGCTCGTCGAAAGGAAAATTACCGGATGTCGAAAAGAGATTTCAAGCTCCTTTATTAGAGAGAGAATTAATGGTGAATGAAGGGGAGGTGAGTATTTATAGAGGGAGAGAGATGAGTCTTGGCTAGTCTTGGCCATTCATTTGTTTATAGAGGGAGAGAGATGAGTCTTGGCTAATCTTCGCCATTCATTTGAATTGTGATCTAAGGTGGAAAATGAGGCTTGTAGGAGAAGCTAATTAGGATTTCCAAGAAGACATGTGATGGAGGTAGACATGTGATGGTGGGTGTAGATATGGGATGGGGTGATGGGTGTGCCTAGGTACATTACTTAAAAATTAAAAAGTGAGATCGAGAGGAGTAAGTAAAAGGGAAGAGCACCACCGCGTAGGATGGGCTCGGTTCGGCACCTCCATGTGCGCACCTCGGCTCACCAGATCGGCGCGGGCGTCTCAGCTCCGCGTCTCCACGTGCTCGGCATTGTGACCAGCTCGGCGTGGTCGGCATCTCGTGTATAGCTCGGCGTCGGCACCTCATCGCCTCGGCGTGGTCGGTAATCGGGGTGGTCGGCACCTTGGCGGCTCGGTGTGGTCGGCATGGTCAGCATTGAGGAGTGGTCGGCATTGAGGTGTGCTCGGCGTCGCGTTGAGGTCGGCGTCGTGGGGTGCTCGACATTGTGAAGTGGTCGACATCGTGGTATGGCCGGCCTTGAGGAGTGCTCGGCGCCTCGTTGTGGTCGGCGTCGTGAGATGCTCGGTATCGTTGGCGGTTCGGCGTCACCCATGGCAGCTCGGCCCAACGCAGGTGACGTGGTCGGCATCAACCATGTGTCACGGGAGTTCGTCATCATAGTAAGCCCGGCATCCTCATGGCAGATCGACATCGCCGGGTGGTCAGCTCAGCGGCTTGGTGGGGTGCGTGGCGCTCTGCACGTGAGCTTGCGGGGTGACATGAGTTTGGGTGAGGTAGGCTCAGTCGGGGTGGACGTTCATAAATTTATCAAACTAAAATGTAAGTGCTCGCGATGATGTTTGTAATTTTCCTATTCCTTACGACAAGCTCCGATAACTTGTCTTACGAATGGGGAGGCTAGATGATGTGGTCGTAAGAAGCGGTTCACGAAGAATCAGTTGTGATCCGGGTTTTAGTCGCACTCAGCTAGGTGGTTCAATCAGGTAGGCGCAGCCCGTGGCACCTCTGGAGTGTAGGGGTGGTAGGCGGAGGCTAGCTCTACGTGAGCCAGGCAGGGCACCTCGACACCTAGGTAGCTGGACGTTCCACCCAGGGGACCAGAGCTCGGAGGTGGTCTTCTGCTCAAGTCACGAAGAGGTTCACAACCTCAAGGACTCTTAGGATTTTGACCTAATCTAGAAGACTTATAGTATGATAAGAACTCTTCAGCTTCTACATGACCTCATCTGTAAAAGGACATATGTTCATTCATTCTACACAACACACACATACAAATTCTCTCGTTACTCTGCCATTTTCTCTTTGGACCACCATTGACTGGAGCATCGGAGTGTTCGCGCTGGGACCACCCCAGGCGTGTTTTGCAGGTACCGACGATCAGGGAGACGCAACCCGGTTCAGAGAGGAGCGGTTCAACGGTTCAAGTATTTGTGGTATAACAATAACGATTCAAGCCGCTAACTTCCAAATATTTTCAACTTCCATATGACTTTAACTTCAATTTCATGGTTTTACTGTATTTTTAACTTCCATATGTTAGACGTGTTACTGCGTTGTGTTAATATTGTTTTTAAGAAATAAAAATCGTATATTATTTTAGACTTTGTTTAGTGTTGTTAAATATGTTTGACCAATTTATGTATTAAAAAACAAAATATGTTAAGAAATACATAAATTTATAAGTTTAAAATAATTAAATACCTACCATTTAACACTTAAATTATATTTTTATGTTATCGCTATATTACTAATAAATACAAAGTATTTACGAAATACTTTCTATATTATGTAATCTGATATTTATTACATATAAATGTATAATACTATTTGTTTAATGGATTAGTTTAATCATGATCATATGTTTTTGATTTTAACTTGTTGTAGAAAATGAATCAAAATAATATTCTACAAATTTATTTATTTATTTATTATGAAGAATGTTTTTGTATTTATTTATTATGAAAATGTTTGTGTGTTATTCATTGCGCATGTTTTTAAAATATTTTATATCTAATTCTACTATTAGATGTATTATTTATGTACAACATTTAAGATAAAAAAATTTATAAAATTCAGGCACGAAACATACGAACACTTATAATTATTGTAACTTATAAAATATAAATTATGAAAATTAGATAAATAATTTAAACTAAGATCTTTAATTAAAAATATAATAAAATTTTATAAAAATATCTGTGAAGTACAAATGTCCCGTACTTTTAATTGTTTGTATTAGAAAAATGAGTCACAACTGATGAACACGCGTCAAATCATTAAATAGTGGGAGTTGGGTAGTTATCGATAAACTAAATAAATACGTCCGGTATTTTAATTGTTTGTATTAAGAAAAATAAGTCACAACTGATGAACACGTGTCAAGTCATTAAACAATGGGCGTTGGGTAGTTATCGATAAACTTACTAAATAAATAAATACTAGTTGAGGTTGTTAATATTAATATAAATATGAACACGTGTAAAAATATATGAGGACTTTCTAAAAATAGTAAGAGTGTTGTGGGATCTGCATAAAATTTTCTAAAAATGACAAAGTGAGTTGCCTAATAATTATATAGTAGATAGATTTCAAACGTCTCTTGTCGGTGGCTCTCTCCTTGTACTTTACTTCTCAAACACTTTCCTTCAGCCATTTTTACAAAAACATCGCCGGTAATCAAGCCAAAAATTATGTTTTACCGGCTATCCTTTACCCTAAACATCGCCGATATTCAAGAAGCACCTGAAAAATGTTTTCTCGAGTCGACATAGAGACCGAGATACCGAATCGACCAGATTTTATAATATCGAATTACTACATGATAGTATTTCGGTTCAAATTGGGAGATTACATTATAGATCTATGAAGATCTTAAATTTTTACAAAGTTTTCTTTAAAATATTTACAAAAATTATTTAAAGTTTGCATTTTCAGCGTTCCTGTGTTTTTTCGAAGATGTTTCCATTCAAAACTTAAGATTTTTTATTTTATTTTTTTTTTTTTTTAATTTTTAT